TATCTGTATATTTTTGTTGAGGCATTACTGTATGGGTAGAGTGCCTCTTTTGGGCCCTCTCATACAACCTTTATGTATCCTTTTCTATTTCAATAAAATCAGCTCTTGGGCTTTTCATAAAAAAATATAGTAGTACTGGAAACAATTATTAAAACCAGGACTCAAGCAAGTAGAAAATTTCAGCTTCGATGGATAAGTTGGTTAAGTGTGCGATGAAGAAGATCGATCTGAAATCTTTCAAATTCTTCTAGAATTATCTATTCTATTGGACACCATCAAATCATTTAGGTAGAAGCCTACTTGTTTTTGTAAGTGGGACTAATCTAGATCCCTAATCAAAGGAGGCTATGTGGGGTGTATGTGCTTTTAGGTCAAGCTCCATAAAAGACCGGTTTTCCCTCAAATAAATTTCTAATAAGCTCCAAATTATGTTAACTTAGATTAGATGCCATACCTCTTGTCTTTTAAGCTTCTAAGCTTCTGACAATCCATTTCCCAAATCAAAACTAGTTTCTCATGAATGATTTTAAAACCGTGTCCTTCATCTCATGATGTAATCCTTTGAATAAGAAAAGCAACCAAAATTATATGCATAAACAATTTCCTTGCCTCTATTTATCCATAAATGATCTTAAACCCTTTACAACCTTATGCTTCTTACAAACGAAACAAAAAAAAATCATTTAGAAACATAAAAAAAAATATCATGGCCATCCTTTGTTTTAAGAAGCATCAATTTATAAATAGCCATTTGATTTCCATACCTCATGGACACCATTTCGAATGAGAACGACAATTATAATCATATAAAAGATGTAGTTGAAAGAAGTTCAAGGCCCAAAGACTTGATCTTATATTTTTTTTTCATCAAATGTTCCTCAGAAGAGAAGAAGGGGTCCGAATTACTTTAAAGCAATATATTAAAATAATATCTCATCAACAGCATTATTGTATTGTGCATCAGATTTTGCCAAACAATCTCAAATTGGAAAATGCTTAAAAAACCAAACTTTAATTAATAATAATAATTTTAGAGGCATACAAAATTTCCAGTCAGAAAGTTCTTCACTATTTGTGAGACAACATAAGAAAGCAGAAGATGATATAACGTCAGTCTTTTCATTTAAATCATAGGTTCCAGATCTCACTGTTTAATTCTATTATGCAGTGCATTAGTAAAAGCATATTCCTCCAAAACTTGACACGAATAAAACAAGATCAGGCACAAAAAGCAAAATAAGTTTTCTTCTACCACAGATGTACCTAGATCTGAGATATTCCCTAATAGCTCATCTCTTCCATGAGGGATAGTTAAATACAGATCACCTGAAGCATTGATATTTACAAATTAATCACCCGGTCGATTTTTACAACTATTGAACAGATGTATTTATGCGTGCCACGATCAAATTATTGGGAATTTGATAAAAATGAAAAATATTGGTTGAAGTTTTACCATGAATTTTGATATTTGAGTGAGAATTTAAAAAATGAATTAAAGAGGGTAATTGATTTGCAAATAGGAAGTTTTGGGTGGTCTGTATGTAATTGCCCCAAAAGAAAAATGCAGAAGCCGCAAGAAGGGGGATGAGGAAAAACTCACTACGGAAAAACAGACTTCACCCTTTCAATGTCCAGCGATTGCTGAGTAGAGTGGGGAACCCCAAGCTTTATCTGAAGCTTCATTTGATCAATGTTAACACCAGGAATCGACCCTGATCCAAAATTTACTTGCACAAAACTCATGTTTTTCTCGTTCATGAAACTAGAAAAAAAAAACCCTAAGTTTCGTCAGGAATACAGAGAAGAATCAGCGGTTACCCCTTCGGAAAGCTGGAATTGAATTGGAAGAGATAGCATCCCTGCATGCCTTCATCGCCGCAGCAGTAATGTCTTGTCTGGTCATCAATAAAACAGGCAATTGAGCGAGACCAAAACTGATAATACAAAAAAGAATCAAAGGGGCAGTAAGGGGTAGCAAAAATATGCGAACGGAAGCAATCACCCGTGTTGATCGTATCCGACACCCATCTCAACGAAAAGAAGCTTCATCGACGGGGTCTCAACCTGCGTTCCCTTGACTTCGCTCGTCATGTCCGTGGCCGCTGCTACAGAAGGTTGCTGTGTATTCCCGGAAGAACGAAGTAGCCCGTCACCCTTCCTGATAGGTTTTGAGGGAAGAAGGCGAGAGAAGGCTGACCTTAAATTTCGAGATGAAAGGTCGTAATGCGCGTAGAATGGTCTGGCGCTCGCGGTAAGTTAAAACTTCATGGCTCCATCCCTGTTTTCGCAGCCCTTGCGCTCGCATCCGTTCCGCCAATGGTGCGCTCCGGTCCGGTGAGTAAAGAAAGGGGCATTTAGATATATACCATCCAAATACTATGTATTTACATATCTAGAACCCCAATTTTATTTTTTACATTTATCCCTCCCATGTCTTTCATATTTATAAAAGTCACAGCTATTTAAACTTTTGAAAAGTGAAGTACACTTTTTCAAGTATAGCTAAGTTAATATATATACAACAACAACAAAGCCTTATTCCCACTAAGTGTGGTCGGCTACATGAATCTTTTTTCTCCACTACGTCATATTTAGTGTCATATTTTCATTTAGTTCTAATAAATTAAGATCATTTTTTATACAATAAGCGCAGTCTTCTAGATTTACCTCTGCTTTTCTTAACATAAGTCGAATCTAAAACATCTAATATGTTAATCAGATCATCAGATGATTGACGCTTAATGTGACCAAACCATCTAAGATGACTTTCTCTAACCTTATCTGTCACAGGAGTCACACCAACCCTATCACGGATATATTCATTTCGTATTGTCTCTAAGTGTAAAGCCACTCATCCACCTAATCATTCTCATCTCGACAACACTTAACTTAGTATTATGCTTCTCTTTTAAAGGCCAACATTCAGTGCCATAAAGCTTTGCAGATCTCACCACCGTCTTATAAAATTTTCCTTTCAGTCCAAACGATACTTTTCTATCACACAAAAGGCCTGAAGCATTCCTCGACTTCACCATTGCTCTGAACAACAAACCCGAGATATCTAAGTTGTTCACACATTTTAATAATTTGATCACCCAAATCACCCAAAG